GGGGGACCTCACCACCAAGAAAGCAGCACCAGGAGCAGAGCACATCCTTTAGACCCAGGGTTCCTGAATGGAGAAGCTCCTACTCTAGGGGAAGATTGATGATGAGAACCTTCTTCCAGAGCCAACAGAGAGAGCCTTCCCCTGGAGTCGACACCCTGAATTTGGACTTCTAGTTTACTAGACTGTGAGAGAATCAACTTTGTTAAAGCCATCCACTTGTGGTATTTCTGTTACAGCAGCACGAGACAACTAATACACCATGGAAATGTGTGGCCAAGGTAGAGTCAGGGCAAAGGACACTGGAGTTGAGGAATTCATATTACTGTAAGGGTCATCATCATGGACTCCAAAGTTATTTGAATGAGGTGCTGGGACTGGAGGTTGAAAGGAATAGTGGGAATCAGATGCCAAAGTCTCAAATATAGCAGGGAATATGTTGATGATAACGACTTGGATGGGAAGAATGGGACATGAAACTCAGTGATGCTAAGGTTTTAAAAGGAAGCGGAACAGTAATATAGTGATTGTACCACTGAAGGCAAAGGAAGACAAGTTTTGCCATCACATTACCCTGAATGCATAACTTGCTAGGCAAAATAAAGGCCCAGTATCAAAGACAGAACTTGCAAGAAGAAGGACATGATGGGACAAGGGAGATTTGTCTTTAGTAACCTGGAGAGGGAGAGAGGCTGTGAATACTTGGTATTTCCCCATTTATTACAGATCCCTGTCTGGAGTGCACTGAGTGGGAATAAGAAGCATAGCATCCTCATTCTGCCACGGCCCAGTGGTTAGGAAAATTTACCATCTGAATCACAGGATGGCAGCCATTGTTTTGTCTCCCACTTGTGGTAAGTCTTTGGGTCAAACCCTCAGAGTCCAGGCTTTAAAGGGATGATGAGAAGAGGCTGAGCAGCCATGGAGGAGGGCTGGGCAGAGCAGGTGAAAATAGGGCCCTAGGAGCTCCAGAAGTTGCTGGTATCACATTGTGCAATTCCTGGGATTTGGGACTTGGGTGGTTTGAATGTCTGTGTATGTGTTACCTGCGTGGTAAACGTATGGGAGTTTTTGAATTATATCTTTGTTTTTGTAAATTTGATAAAATAACAATGATGTCTGTAAACTGCAGTTTCCTCATCTGTGAGATAGTAATTGGAAATAGTAATCTCTTTGAGTAGAGTAAAACCCTTGAGCCCTTTTTCTAGCCCTGGGTCGGACAGGGTTCTGCCCTGGCTTCTTATGAAAACTGTGTGTGGATATCTTTGTGTGTGGGTGTGGATGTGTGGGTACGTGAGCGGGGATGCTCATGGATGTGCATTTATGTGGGATATGATCAATGACAGGCAGGAAAGCTTCTGGAGTTATGAGTGTTAGAACATAGGGCAAGCCTGGATTCTTGTGGCTCATTTCTTCTTCTCCAGCTCAGTCTTCCCTATACCTAGCCTCTCATCAGAAAGGATCGACAGAGGAGGAAGGGTTGGTTAATGGGTCCCTGACAAGCTGGTTACAGGTGAGTCAGATATTCCTTTTTCCAAATCATTATTCCTTTGACCGGAAGTTGGATTTCTTACTTGTCAATAGCCTGGAGCCTCACAGCCAAACCAGGTCCCCAGGAATCCCAGGATCTCTGGGCTTCTGGTGGTGGGGGAGGGAATTCTCGGAATATGTCAGTGTATCTCAACTTTTACAACAACATTTTTCAAATGAGTGTTTTAAGGAAAAGCTAAGAAAAAGGAGACTGTGTTCTAAACTCTAGCAATTTATGATCTCCATGGGAAAACAATTTATTCATTCACCAAGCATTTCTCTGATTTCTGCCATGTCCCAGGAGACCTGGAGATTGAGGGAAATAAGATTACAGGAGCTCTGACACTGGAGAAAAAAATCATCTCTGTGTTACAGGTATATTTAACCTTGTGAGTGGGTGTAGGTAGACAGGAAATGAGCATCGAGAACTGAGCCCAGAAGCAGATGGGCTCAAAACCCTGACCATACGTCTTGTATTTTGGGTTGCCCTTCCTCAGTTCTGCCAGCCTTGACCCTTTTTGTGTCAACATTGGTGGGGGTGGTCCTTGGCTGAGCCATGATGTTTCCAATGGTAGGACCTGGTGACCTTCGAAGATGTGGCTGTGGAGTTCACCCAAGAGGAGTGGGCATTGTTGGACCCTTCTCAGAGAAAACTATACAGAGATGTGATGCTGGAAAACAGCAGGAACCTGGCATCACTTGGTAAGGCTGACATCATTCCTGCGTTAATTTAACTCTCCAGGCACTGTCTTAGGTATCTAATGCTGCTGTAACAGAAATACCACAAGTGGATGGCTCTAACAAATTTATTCTGTCACAGTTTAGGAAGCTGAAAGTCTGAATTCAGGCTGCCAGCTCCAAGGGAAGTCTTTCTCTGTCAGCTCTTGGTGAAGGTCCTTGTCATCAGTCTTCTCCTGGTATAGGAGCTTCTCAGCACAGGGACCCTGGCTCCAAAGGACATGCTCTGCTTTCAGCTTTTCCTGCTTGGTGGTAATGAGGTCCCTATCTCTCTGCTCACTTCTTTCCCCTTTTATCTCTTGTAAGATAAAAGGTGATGCAGGCCACACCCCAGGGAAACTCCCCTTATATTGGATCAGGGCTTTGACCTGAGTAAAGGTGTTGCATCCTACCCTAATCCTGTTTAACAAACCTTATATTCCCTCATTAACCTCAGGCAGAGATTAGGATTTACATCACATAGGAAAATTGTTATCAGATCACAAAATGGAGGACAACTACACAATACTGGAAATCATAGCCTAGCCAAGTTGACACATATTTTAGGGGGACACAATTCAATCCCCAACAAGCACCAAGTCTTTCTTAAGCACTTGCCGTGTTCCAGGGTCTCTGCTGGGGATTGAGAATATACTGGTGAATGAGACAGATATGGGCCTACCTTCACAGTGTTAACTGTTGTCTTCCCTATGAAGTAAAAATTTATCCCTGACTTTGTATTCACCATGGTTAAATATTTTGGGACTTCTGAAGTGTGTTTTAGGACTTGGACATGAATTACTGGACCAATTATCCCCAGTCACCCTCAATATTGAGTGAGGATACTTGTGTTTTTGTTCCTTATGAGTGAGATTGTTATGGATTGAATTGTGCCCCACCACCACCCCCACCAAAAATATGTTGAATTCCTGCTCTCATACCTGTAGATGTGATCCTGCTTAGAAATTGGGTTTTTCTTTTGTTATGTTAATGAGATCATTCCAGTGTAGGAGGGATCCTAAACCTAATCACTTCTGAGTTATAAAAAGACAAGAATAGACACAGACACATGGGGGAAGACAGATGACACATGAGGACCTTTATACAAGCAAACGAATGCCAAGCATCACCAACAAACACTAGAAACTGAGGCTTACAAAAGGAATTGATGCAGTGACATCCTGATTTGGACTTCCAGTCTCCATAATAATAATAAAATAAATTTCTGTTCCTTAAAGCTACACACTGGTGGTATTTCTGGTACAACAGCACTAGATAACTAAGAATTTGGTACCAGAGAGTAAGGGGTGTTGATCTAACAAATACTAAAATGTGAAAGGGGCTTAGAAATTGGGTAGCGGGTAGATGCCGGAGAAATTTGGATTACATGATAGTAAGAGCCAGATTGCCTTGAAGAGACTGTTGGTAGAATTATGGACATTAAGGGCAATTCTCATGAAGGCTCAGACAGAATTGAGAGCTGTGAGGAAAATGTCTATTATCATGAACAGGATGTCACTAAAAATGAGAACATTAAATGTGCATCTGTTGAAGCTTTAAAATAAAATGATGAACATATTGGGCAATGGAGGAAAGGCAGTCCTTATTATCAAGTAGCAAAGAACTTGTCTGAATTATAGTTGAGAACTCGTAAGTGATGAACTTGGATGTTTGGCTGAGGAAATTTCTAAGCAAGATGTTAAAGGGAAGGGACAGTGTGGTTTCTCCTTGCCACTTATAGTAAAATGTGGGAGGAAAGAGAGATTAGAAATGAACTGTGGGGAAAAAACCCAGAACTTAAAAGATTTGGAAAATTCTATTGGAAAAACTGAAAGAGCTTGTCCTGGAAAGGACACCAAGATTGTGTGGCTATACTGTCTTTTGCTAAAGAGATTAGGCCTGTGACTGCTGGATTTAATCAGAAATCCTGTCAGCTTAGACTGAAAGGAACAGAAATAGGATGAAATGAAGGAAAGGTGTCTGCCTCCTGAAATTCTACAGGCAGGAAACAAGCCAGTAGAGCTGTTGTTGTTATTGTGTGCCGTTTAGTGGATTCCAACTCAAAGCGACCCTATATGACAGAGTAGGGTTTCCTAGGCTGTAATCTTTACAGGAGCAGATTGCTAGGTCTTTTCTCCCTCAGAGCTTTGGGTGGGTTTGAACCGCTGACCTTTTGGTTAGCAGCCAGGCACTTAACCATTGTGCCACTAGGGCTCCTTCCAGTGGAGCTACCTAATTACAAACATCTGTTGTCCTCCAGGAAAAGGAAGGAATAATCCTGGAAGCTGTTTGGAGATCAGTGGGACAGTCAGAAGCAGCATGGGGAGCAGGGCTGCAACTTGCATGGCTTCAAATGGTGAAGGCACCACCCCCTAGGTTTCAAAATGTGGAGTTAATGTTCCCTAGGTTTCAGAGTGGGGTCACCACACCTCGGTTCAGGAGTATGGAGCTGCCATTCTAGTGGGCAAAGATCAGGGAGCAGGGCTGCCAGACTGGTGGGTAGGAAGAACAGAGCTACGCAGGTCCAAGGGGGTGAGATCACTGTCCAAGTGGGCCTAGAGGACAGGACTCATGCCTAGGGCAGAGGCTTCTGCACCCAGAATCCAGAGAATGTGGCCATTGCCCAGATGTGTCTCAAAAAAACAGAGTGTTATTTTGAAGCCTTGAGAGCTAATGAGATTTGCGCTGCTGGGTTTCAGATTTTCTTGGTACTTTTGACCCCTTCTTTCTCTCCATTTTCTCCCTTTTGGAATGGAAATGATACTTTGTGCCAGTTTCATGATTGTAGTTTGGAAGCGGGTAATTTGTATTACAGGTTTCACAGGTCCACAGATGAAGGGAAGTTTTGTCCCAGGATAGCACACACACAGAGCCTCACGCGTACTTTATTTAGATAATTCAGAAGATGAGATTTTGAACTTAGAATGGATGCTGAATGGGTTAAGACTTTTGGAATTATGTGATAGGGAAATGTGTTTTGCATGTGGAAAGGACATGAATTTTGGGAGACCAAGGATAGAATGTTATAGATTAAATTGTGTCACCAGAAGTATGTGTTGAGTTCCTGGCCCTTGTCCCTATAGATATGATTCTGTTTGGAAACAGGGTTTTTCTTTTGTTATGTTAATCGATCATACCAATGTAGGACGGATCCTAAACCTAATCACTTCTAAGTTATAAAAAAACTAGACACAGACAAACGTGGGAAGATAGACAGCATGTGAGGACCCATCTACAAGCAAAGGAATGCCATAAAGATCACCAGCAAATACCAGAAACTAGAAGAGAGGCTCACAGAAGAAATTGACATGGTCAAGACTCTCATTTGGATTTTTAGCATCCAGATCTGTGAGAAAATAAATTTCTGTTCCTTAAAGCCATCCACTTGTGGTGTGTTTCTGCAACAGCAGCACTAGGTAACTGAGACAGATTTACTCTATTCATTAGAATTCAGGCACAATTATTCCACAGCTCCTAAGTCACACTTGCCCATCTTCAGAAGTGTTGGCTTCAGTTTCATGGAGGGGCTTTTTGTCCCCTGCACAGTCTCCCTACATTTATATCTGTTTCCCAGGACTAAGAAATCAAATTGATAAACCCAGTTTGATCTCTCAGTTGGAGCAAAAAGAACAGGTGATTACAGAAGAGGGGAATTCTCCCAGGTACCTGGCCAGGTCAACAGCAGGTTCCTCTTGAAATATGTAAATCATCCATGCCCAGGTCCTTTTCACTGTGAAACTTCTCAAAAATTCCTAAAAGCTTGTCTTTACTCATGTGTCCATTTCACCATTTCTTTTCTCTACCAACTTAAATCCCTTTTCAATTTGTTTCAGATTTGGAGAGTATACCTAAAGTCAAAGAGCTAACTTCTAAGCAGCGTGTTTTTAGAAAAAAACAAACTAAACATATGAAAACGGTAAGAATAATAAGGATGGTTTTGGATTTTAGGAGAATGCCGTAAATTAGAGGAGCCACAAAATAACAGGAGAGTCATTAAAAGCAGTGGCATTTATCCAAGAGAAAGTGGTGTCTGGAGAGATACTATGAAACTTGTAGATTTAGAGACAAGTTAAATTAGCTCCAAAATTGTTTCTTCACTGAAAGCTCCCATGAGTAAACATCTCCATAAATGTGACTCAGATATTGAGTGTTTGAAACATAAATTGGCCTTAAATTTATCAGAGAATGTTCTATGAACATACTAAAGACTTGTGGCAGAGCATCCATCTTATTTACTTGCTAAGGACGTACACTGGGCAAAAACCATATTTGAGCATAGAAAGTAGTAAAAACATTACAGTAATGTTATAGCTAAGAGAATTCTTAGGGAGAGAATTCCTATGACGGCATTGAATATTAAAAATATCGGAAATTTTAGTCATTGCTCATCTCTTCATCAACAGGAGAGAAGTCATCTTGGAGTGAAGCTCAATGAATGTAATCAGTGTTTTAAAGTCTTCAGCGCAAAATCAAGCCTTACACAGCACAAAAGAATTCACACTGGAGAAAAGCCCTATGACTGTAACCAATGTGGAAAATCCTTCAGCAGTAGCTCTTACCTTACTGTTCATAAGAGAATACATAATGGGGAGAAACCCTATGAATGCAGTGACTGTGGGAAAGCCTTCAGTAATTCCTCATCCTTTAAATCGCATGTGAGAATACACACTGGAGAAAAACCCTATGAATGTGATGAGTGTTTTCGTGTCTTCCGCACTAGATATAGCCTCAAAATGCACAAGAGAGTTCATACTGGAGAGAATCACTATGAATGTAATCAGTGTGGAAAGACCTTCAGCACGTGCGCCTCCCTTACTGTGCACAATAGAATTCATACAGGTGAGAAACCTTATGAATGCCATGATTGTGGGAAAACCTTCAGGGAAAGCTCACATCTGACACAGAATGTGAGGACTCATTGAATGTTATCAGTGTGGTAAATCCTTCAGCTGTAAGTTTCCTCTTACTATACACGAGAATACATAATGGAGAGAAAACCTATGAATGTAGTGACTGTTTGAAAGCCTTTCATAATTGCTCATTTGTTAAGAAACACATGAGAACTCACAGTGGAGAAAAACCCTATGAATGTAATCAATGTGGAAAAGCCTTCAGTAGTAATTATGTTTCTGCATGCATAGGAGAATAGATAATACCTGGATATGAATACAATGACTGTGGGAAAGCATTCCTTGGTCTCCTTCAGATGATATAAGAGAACTGACACTAGATGTATTATCTGTAATTGCATAAAAATAATCTCTAAAACTTAGTGGCTTAAAATAGTAAACACACTCACTCCTTACTTATCGACACTGTTAGTTTCTAAAGACCAGGTCGTTATGTGAAAATTGGTGTTAGGCAAAAATGGAGAATTTTTTTATGTTTTGAGACCATCCATTTGTCTGATTTTTTTTATTTAGAAAATATGATTATAGAAATAATAACAGCCAAGATTTACTGATGTGTTCATCACCAATAACAAGTCTAGTTATAGATTATTCCTCTGTGGAGAAGGAGGCTTGGAGGAGATACAGATGGGTAAAGCCAGGCTGTGTGACTGGAGGGCCTACAGCTTAACCACTTCACCTACCTCCTATGCTGGATCAGAGCTTCCCTCAGAGAGCCGCCTTCAGGGCTCCACCCCCACTCCTGCAAGCCCTGCATTCACGATCCTGGAACCTGCTCTGCATTCTGGGCCTGGCGAATCACCGAGGCTCAGGGCTTCCTGTGATGGCTTTGGGAGCCTGGCCGCAGCACCTGGCCCCAAGGCAGAGGCTTCAGGCCCAGTTTGGCTCACTTTGAGATGTCATTAAAGTTGCACACATTTCTTCCAAACACCCTCTCCAATGCCTCTTTCTTTCCTCCCTTCCCATTCCACAACAATTTTGAGCTGCAGGACCTCAGGCCACATAGGAGCTGGGAACCCAGAACAGGCACTCACTGGCTCAGTGCTGCCTGGACATCCACCCAGAGGCCATGCTTATGGAGGAGGCTAGCCCTGCGTAGCAGCTGGACATGGCCCTCCTTCCGGCAGGAGGCAGCGGAAGGCACAGGGCAGTGCAGCCTCTCCTTCCCAGAGGCCACCCAGAGACCCTCCTTAAGGGAAGGGACACTCCGAAGCCATTGCCACCATGCCCACCGCCTTGTTAATGTGCATAATAGTTGGATAGTAGATTTTTTACTATTGTCATAAATGCAAAAGTCAAATAACAAGATAGTCCATAAGTGAGGAGTAAGTATATTATCTCACAGTTTCTGTAGGTCAGGTCTTCAAAAACAGCTTACCTGTGTGGTTCACAATCTGGCTAATGATCTCTGATAATGTTGCAGTCAAGATATTGGCAAGAGCTTCAATTATTTGTAGTCTAGTGCTAAAGGATCCACCTCTAAGATAGCTCACTCATATGTTTGCCATAGTAGAATTTGTTGGTAGAGGACCTTCAGTTCCTTGCCATATAGGCCTCTCCATAGGGCTAAGTGTCTTCATGATATGGCAGCAGGTTTCTCATGAAAGCAAATGATTTTAAAGAGCAAGGCAGAAGCCACATGTCTTTTTAATTTTTTGTTTTTGTACTTACGAAAATATACACAACAAAACCTTCACTGATTCAATAATTTCCGCATATACAATTCAATTTCCACATGATTACATTTATGTTGTGAAACCTTTATCACTTTTTTTTTTCCAAATTATTTCACCACCATTAGCATAAACTTAATGCCCACTTAACAAAAACTCCCCCTTCTCCCTCCCTCCCACCCTTGCTATCCACTAATAATCTTTGGTTTCTGTATGTTTGTTTATTTCATATAAGTGAGATCATACAGTATTTGTCCTTTTACAACTGACTTATTCCACTCAGCGTGATGTTTTTTATGTTATTCTGTGTTGTGACATGCATCAAGACTTCATTTCTCTTTATCACTGAGTAATATTCCATTGTATTTATGTATACCACTTATTGTTTAGTCATCTGGTGATGGACATTTCAGTTGTTTCCAGCTTTTAGTTATTATGAAGAAGTGCTTCAACAAACATTGGTATACAGTCATATGTCGCTTAACATCCACAATACATTCTGTGAAATAGGACGTTATGTGATTTGGATGTTGTGTGAACACCTGGGTCCACAGGGGCTGCTGTGTGGCACATGGCTTAGAAAGCTCCCACTGCAGACGTCTCAGGTGAACTTTCAGCTGGGTCCCACGCAGTATGTGGCCCCACAGCCCTATCAAGGTCACAGTGGGGAGGCTCTGGGCAGCAAGGCAGCATTCTCAGTGAACTGGTGTCACTGTCCTGGCCAGGCTCCGTGGTGCCTGCCTACCTTGGGCACTCAGGAGCAGGATCGGGTGCCAACTCTTCCAGGGCAGGGGCACCTGTTCCCATGGGTGGGGGGTGGCTGGACAGGTTCACTGCCAAGTCGGGCTGTGGGCATCCCCCGGAGGGCACGCAGTGGACCATGGACATATATTCAGTTGAACGTTGCCCAAACAGACGTTATTTAGCACGTGACTATACAAGTTTCTGTTTTTATTCCTGCTTTCACTTATAAGTATATACCTAGGATTGGGATTGCTAGATCGTATGGTAGTTCTATGTTCAACTTTTTGAGGAACCACCAAATTGTGCTTTGCAGTGGCTGTACCATTTTACATTCCCACCAGCAATGGATGAGGGTACCAGTTTCTCCACAACCTTGCAAACACCTGTTTTCTGTTTTTCTGATCATTGTCATTCTAATGATGGTGAGGTGGTATCTCATTGTGGTTTTGATTTGCGTCTCCCTAATGATTAATGAAGGATCCCTGGTGGTGCAAAAGGTTAAACACTTGGCTACTAACTGAAAGGTTGGTGGTTTGAACCTACCCATTGGCTATGCAGAAGAAAGAGCTGGCAATCTGCTTCCATAAAGATTACAACCCATACCCTACGGAACAATTTTACTCTGTCACATGGGGTCACTATGAGTTGGAATTGACTCAATGGCAGCTAACAACAGTGGCTAATGACATGGAGCCATCTTTTCATGTGCTTTTTGCCCATTTGAATATCTTTTTTGGTGAAATGTCCAAGTGATCTGCCCATTTTTTGAGTTGACTGTTCGTCTTTTTGTTGTTGTAGAAGTTTTATATTTATATATGTGGATATTGGACCCTTACTGGATATATGGTTTCCGGAAATTTACTCCCAATCTGTAGGTTGTCTCCTCACTTTGTTGATAAAATCTTTTGATGAACAAAAGTAATTTTTTGAGGTCCCTTTATCTATTTTGTCTTTTGCTTCTATTTTTGTTGTCATATCTGATAGTCTATTCTTAAAATCTAGGTCCCACAACCTCTCCCCTAAATTTTCTTCTAAGAATTTTATGGGTTTAATTTTCACATTTAGGCTCTTGTGGTGAAATGAGTTCCTTTATGTGGCCTTTTGCCTGGTTCTTTGGAAAAACAGCTTGAGAGATTTTCCCCGAGTCCTAGTTTTCTACCCTATAGGGTCTGTTACTTTTGCCAGGTTGATTGACATTTCCTGGGTAAGCTGTAAACAACTTGGTTTGATACTTTTGTCTGGTCCTGCGCTGCAGCCTGCCCTGTGATTGGTATGCACCTTGCAGGGATTGGTCAATAGCCATGCAAGTCAGGTGAGTTATACCCTACTATGTAAATGAAGTGTCTGTGGCCTACTGACAGGAGATTGGTCAGTTCATGGCCCTGTTGGTGGGGCCCATGCCTTGAAGTTGATGAGGTGTGTGTGTGTGTGTGGCCAACCCCACAGAGGTAGACAAGACAGAAGGAGAAAGAAAAAAGAAGAAGCAGAGAGAGAGGAGGCAAGGAACCTCCTAAAAATCTGAAACACAGGTCAAGGGGTGTAACACTGAAGAGAGCAACAGGCCCAGAAGGGGCCCAGCAGCAGAGCTGGTGGTGACAGGCCTGGAAGGGGACCTGCAGCAGAGTTGGTAGTTACAGACAGCAGGGCTGAGAAGCCTGTCCTTGGGCTGAGAGGAGGCCTGCATGGTCAAGAGGAGCTGAGAGAGCTGTCTTGCACTGAAGAAGGGAGACTTTGCCTACATGCTTCCTGATCCTAATCCTGAATTGTAGCCTGTTGATCCTGAGTTGTACCCTGTTCCTTAATAAAGCACTTAACTGTAAGTATGGTATGTGAGTTCCGTATTGCCATTGCAACAGACTGTTGAACCCAAAAGAGACGAAGAGAGTGCCACGGGAGGGATGGCTCATGTCAGAATTGGTAAAAAGGTTGGAGAGTGGAGGTGTATCTGATCTCTACCTCATAGGAGATGGGTTGATCATAATTCACATTATCCCCCCTGAAGTTAGGTACTGATGACGCTATTACTTTTGCCATTTTACAGTCCTTGATCCATTTTGAATTGGTTTTTGGCTTTATAGTATGTCTTGAAATCATGAAGTATGGGTCCTACTTTTTCTTCTTCATGGTAGCTTTAGCTATTTGAGGTCCCTTGCCCTTCCATATAAATTTGAGGATTGGCTTTTCTGTTTATGCAAAGAAAGCTATTGGAATTTTGATGGGAATTGCATTGAATTTGTACATTGCTTTGGGTAGTATTGACAACTATATGAAGCCTTCCAATCCATGAACATAGAATTTCCTTCCATTTATTATAGATCTTTTTAAAATTCAGTAATATTTTATACTTTTCTGTGTATATGTCTTGCAGGTTCCTGGTTAAATTTTTGCCTAGGTACTTTATTCTTTCAGATGCTATTGTAAATGGTAATGTTTCCATAATTTTCTTCAGCCTGCTCATTGCTGATGTATAGAAATCCAACTGATTTTTACGTGTTGCCCGCTTACTCTGCCA